TGGCAAAACCCCATTTCTACTAAAAATACAAAAATTAGCTGAGTGTGGTGGCATGCACCCGTAGTCCCAGCTACTCGGGAGGCTGAGGTATAAGAATCACTTGAACCCGGGAGGTCAAGGTTGCAGTGAGCCAAGATCGTGCCACCACACTCCAGCCTGGGTGACAGAGTGAAACTCTGTCTTAAATAAACAAAACAAAACCAGTGAGCCCCTCCTGCCTGCCAGGCTGTATCTGGGCAGATGTGGGCTCTGAGGCCCTCAGCCTCTGGGGCTGGGGCATGGTGAAGCAATGCATGGACTTGGCGTGTGTACCTGAGACAGAGTGTGTGTGTGTGTGTGTGTGTACTCACCCAGGGGTGTGTACCTGAGAGTACACAATGTGTGTGCTTGCATGCGTGTTTGTAATGTGTTTGGGCTTGCACATGTGTGCCTGTGTGCATGCACATGTGTGTGGGTGTTGGGGCCTGTGTATACATGCAGAGAAATGAACTGGGCAGATGGGCTTGGGAAAATGATGTAATCAGACAGCAGTGTTGCTCCTGCCCTCCCAGCAGCGGGTGGGGCACCCTCCTCCCTCAGCCTCAGCAGGTCCCTAAGCTGCATTTGCAGCCTGAGGCAAAAACTGAGGGCTTGCTGTCAGGGAGGAAGTGACAGGGAGAGAAGGAATGGCAGCTGTGAGTGCTCACGCCAGGCACGGCACACAGGTCAAGTCCACCAGACATGGGTTTGAGTGGCTCCAGCTCTCTAGCATAACTGCTCAGCTGCAAAATGGGGGTTCAAACAGCCTGCTCCCCACAGGGCGACTGTAAGGATTTGGTGAGATGCTGGGGGAAGGAGCCCAGAGCTGGGCACCAAAGCATGTGTCCACTAAGCTCTGTGCACCGCTGCCATGGCTGACCTCAGCCAAGTTCCTGGCTTGCTAAGCCTCAGTTTCCCCATCTGTACAACCTAACAGCCCTCTGGGTTCTGACCCTCCCGGACGTTGAACTTTCTTCCTGGGAGCTGCGCCTGGCAGGCAGATCCTGGCTGAGTTCAGCCTCCCCTAGTCCCAGCTCCACCCCCATCACATCCCCCAGAAACGGCCACAGCAAGTTTTTCCAGCTCCTTGGCAAATGCCCACTGCCCTCCAGCCCTCCTTCACCAGAAGAGACCAAAAGGGAAGGTGGCCTTGCATCCAGGTACCAGAGCCACCTGGCTTTCACTGGGATGGCGTCCTCTGTGGCCCCAGCCACAGCCATCTGTTCAACTTCCAGCAAACAGGCCAGCCTGGGCACCCGCTTGACACTAAGGAAAACTCGTGCTACTTGAAAACGTCAGAGCTGGAATGACAACAAGAGCAGCTACTATGCTCAGAGTCACAGGTGCATCATCTTAAGGTGGAGACTACCATTGCCACCTATTTACAGAGGCAGAGGCAGAGGCTAAGTGGCTCGCCGAGGTCACAGGCTAGTGGCTTCAAACCCAGCCTGACTGCAGGCCACTTGCTCTTCCCTGCACTCGGCCCTACTCTCCCTGGCTCCTAGGAGACCTCACATCTTCTCCCCTTTGCTCTACACACCTTCCAGAAAACCAGTCCCCCAGTGAGTCATGGTCAACCTGCCCACTATTCCTCCAGAGAGCCTGTGCGCTACAGCTCAGGCCTGCTGCCCCGTGGAAGGTTCCCCTGCAACCCCTCTCTGACATTCTAACTCAGCTGAGCTCAGTTTGTCTTTGGTGATGGAGGAAGGGCACATTCTTCATTCACTCAACTCATATCAGAGTGCCTGTGGGTGCCTGGTCTCCCCCAGTTCTGGGGAGGGGGCCACGCTCTGGAAGATCAACTTTGCCCAAAGCTACATCAGAAAACAGAGCCTTAGACTCTGAATTCCAGAGAAGTTACCTCTTTCCACATGGGTGCCCGGTGCCCACAGGCAAACCACTGACTTCGGAGGCTGTGTAGTCAGTGCTCAAATAAGGCATCTGGTTGACCTGGCTGGCCTTCCAGCACCCACGGGCCAAAGATGAGATGGGCTGGGGTTGGCAGGGGGAAGCGCGTGTGCAGCAGGCAGTTCTGGACCTGGCTCCACTCCAAAGCTCCTGGGGCCCTGGGCCTGCTTCCCAAGCAAGGAGACTGTGCTGAGAGTGGGGCCTCCCCTTCCCTCTTACCACGTGCCTGGCCCTGCCCAGGCGCTCAGCAGGCAGGAGTCACTATTCATTCACTTGATCCACCCACACAGAGCAGAACCAGAATTACTTCTCAGCAGGGTGCACAGATGGCCCCTCCAGGACAGGGCCCCGCCCCCACCCCCAAGCTCCCCGCCCCAGGCCCTGGGCCAAAGGGGTCTGGGAGGGAGAGGGAGTTTGGAATGGAGACTCCTCAAGTTCCTGCTCCTAGCCAAGCTTCCCAGTCTGTGTGGCTGCTTCTCCCTCCTTCTCATCAGAACCTAACCCCAGGCACAGTTATTGTGTAATTGGACCCA